ATTATTGAATTGTTGCTAGTCGTTACTTCATGGAAGCAAATATAAAATTGAGCTTGAATTATGAAATATTTTTATTATATTAGGGTTGTCAAAGAGTTGAACATAATCTAGCAGAGGTACTCAGGAAACGAAATTTGGAGCGCTTTTCCGCTTACTCAAGTATAGCCAATGAAATTAGTGAAAATGAAGGAGTGGCAACAACTCGGCCTTTAAGATTCTAGGATTGGTATGATTAAATAGCATTTGTATAGATAGATTTTATTGCATTACGCGACATTACCATATTGTAGGCGTATGAAAAGATTTTAAATTGAACCTAAGAGCTCTCTACAAGACATTGGTATAGTTACTACATAGTGACTAATATAGTATCAAATCCAATTAGTTTAATCAGTTTGCCTATTATTATTATTGTATTCGGGATATGAGCGCATTTAAAATAAATTACATAACCGAATTTCTTGTCATCATAATGTTTAAAGTTATCTTATGATATATCAATATTGCTATTTATTGAGTTTATAACCTAGAACATTTATATTTACTTGGATTTACAATTGTGCACCGTTGCAATGAGATAGTATCATTAAAACTTGAAACCATTTCATATTATTGTACGTGAATAAAATGAATAAAATATTATTATTTTGATGATGTGATAATACTTTTCATTGATATGATATTGTATATACACACATTCATATATGAAGTTCATATATATATATAACATATACACCAATCTCTTTAAATTGAATAGAAACAATAATTTTTATAGTGTTAATTTCCTTGTAGTTCATTTTTGAGCATTGAATTAAAGCTTGAAGTATAAGGTCATTCACAAAGAATCAAGGATCAAGATTGAATATTTTATCTAGAGTATGCTTGTCATCAACTTATGGTGGGACCGCGCAGCGTATCGGTTACGTTCCCTTAAGTTCTACTATTGTACATTTAACAAAAATTTATCCTTAAGTAGTAAACCGTTTTTTTCGCTACATTTGAGAGACGGGTTTCAGAGTAGGGATAGGAGACGTATTTTTGACAAGCTCTTCGATCTAATTACTAGATGTGTGTAACGAGTGCAATTGAATATACGTATATCATTTCCACTCACAATATTATTCAGCCTATCCGACTATGAAAATAAGCAATTAGACTATCAAATAAGAGGGACTGCAGTATGTCAGTACCAACTGACTAGCGTACAGAATCAATTAACAAAGTTGTTTTTCACACTAATCTATGTTGATTAAACTAGTTTTATTGAGATTATACAATTTTACGTACATTTTAATTATTACCTGTGTACTGGCGAACCTTTTAATAAGTATAAAAGAGCTTAATAATTTATGAGCTAAAGACTATACTGAATTATACATGAAATTGACGTTGGCATTTCTGCTTTGCATGCTTTAAAGCTCAAAGTTCTGATGAGTTAACTCTTGAGTAGTGTAATGATATCTTCTTTAAGTAGCTTAAAGTATTTTAAGGTAGACGATGATAGAAGGTATAAAGGATTTTATTGAGATACAAGTTACAGGCTAACAATGATATGGTTGTTATAGATAAGGTATTTGAGATAGCAGGAATATAGGAACTCACTAACGAGTTAGCGTACAAGGGTATTTATAGGTTTTAGATGGGATTGAGATAATGTCTTTATATGTATAGCATGTCGTCTATATGTAGTCATGATGTCGTACATTATGAATGTAATACAATACAGTACTTAAACGGTATATGATAAGTATTCGTATATTAGGATATTACTATACTAGGCATCTTCTATATAAGATCATAATGTTACAAGTAGAACGAACAGTAAAGCGGACTGAAGAACCAATACATATCAATTAAACTATTTCTCATTTACTCATATAACTTCAATTACAAATTAATTCATTATTTTTTACCTGGCTTAAACTAAACCTACCGTCAGGGAGATACGGGAAATTTCGAAATTACGTGCAAACTGCAAAGTTACACAGTATGATCTACAGCACTACGGTGCAGTACTGTACACTGTACAGTACAGTATTATCGTTATCATACCGATGACGGGCTTTTCGGTACCGTACAGGGCGCTGCCACCACGACACCACATTACTTACTGGCTTAAACTAAACCTACTAGCAGCATTATTGAAGTACCATTGGAAATGAAATATCACTAGAATCATTCAAAGTTATTAGCTGATATCAATGCGAAGGTTTATAACTTGGCCATAATAATTTCAAATTTCAATTCCATTCTTGTAACATCTCGCCAAGCATGAAAGCAAGAAAAGCCTACGCCTATTTATTCGCTTTAATTTTGAGTATATTGCTCTTACTGAATTTTTGGAGTCATAAAAAAAATCAAGACCATTTTCAGAAGCAAGCTATTCAATCAAAGAATATTAATCTCAATCTAGGTAATGTCAGTATGTTAAATTGCGTTTCAGTACATAAGCGGTTGTTGTTGATATTACGTAGCATACTGTCGTAAAGCTTAATTCGACTTTATAAATTAATCTTACCTATTGACATGCATTGCCATATAGTATTATCCATCAAGCTATCTACAGTAATAATTTTTAAACTGTATGTGTAGGTTGTGTAGGCTAATGTAGATGCTTTCGAGTAATGGAAAATTCTATGTTAGTTGGTGGCATTATTTTGGTATAATGCTGTTTGTCGGTAACGTTTACGTTTCTAACTGAGTGATTAGTTGAATTGGCTTCACTGGAGGATCTGCAAGTTTTACTTCTAGTTTCTAACAATATAGTAAATGCAAGAAGTCTGATATTATATCTCTTGAACGTTTAACAACATTTTTTATAGCTATCAAAATGTATTTCAACAGTGCTGTAGACTAGATTACAATATAACATACAGAATATTCCCCTATGAGAAAAGCTACGTTTTTAACAAAGATCATCTATGTCTAATAGAAAAGATCTAAATCATACAAACCACCTTAACAACAACATTTATTTGACAATTGCAATCTTAACGATCTAAATATGTCTGTAAATTCTAATAAATTAAATAAATTGAAAGTTATATGGTAGTACTGAAAAAATAGAGTGAAATAGCTTTAATTACATTTGCATATTTAACATTTTATCTTCAATTTTGAACTATAATCAAATAAGGCAATAACTAAACCTAAAGTATTCAGCTTAGAAACTGATTCAGTAAATATGTTAAGTAAAGATATCACTTTATATATTTTTCAGTTGAGTTATTTGACATTAATTCTTATTAGTAGTCTAGAACACTTGAACTTAGCGTCGCTTTTAGTATAAAAAGCCTTGTGAAAAGTATCGATTGATAATTTTATTAATACTAGTGCAAACTCCCGTCGCTTTGCTGACGGTTTACGATAATGTGCTCATTTAACAGAGGTTCAGTAACTATCAGATCGCTGACTAACGAACATTATCCTCTTAGAAATACTTTTTGTAATATGATATATAGCAATCAAAAATAACCGGGACAGGGGAACTATAGTAGGGTAACACTACGAATTGCAAGAGAGCAATAGAACTAAGAGTACCTACTGATGTGTATCAATCACTTTTCAAATTTCGTTAAGTAACTTTCGTATTAGTATGTTTACCGAATAAGGATGGTTACTATATACAGTATAGAAATCAAAAGTAATTGGGACAGGGGAACTACAGTAGGATAACACTACGAATTGCAAGAGAGCAATAGAACTAATAGTACCTACTGATGTGTATCAATCACTTCTACCTTCTCAATAATATTTACATAAATCCTAGAGATCATTCATTTCTATACCAATTCAAATTTCGTTAAGTAACTTTCATATTAGTAATCGGGACAGGGGAACTACAGTAGGATAACACTACGAATTGTAAGAGAGCAATAGAACTAATAGTACCTACTGATGTGTATCAATCACTTCTACCTTCTCAATAATATTTACATAAACCCTACAGATCATTCATTTCTATACCAATTCAAATTTCGTTAAGTAACTTTCGTATTAGTATGTTTACTGAATAAGGATGGTTACTATATACGGTATTAATGCTATAGTAACAGTAATATACTATGCTATATTAAGATTAGTTAATGGTCCAGAGCACATTACGATAACTAATGTACGGTGATGGACATACCAAGTTAAGATTAGTAGGTACTGTAAGATATCGACAGTGCGGTAGAATGTCCTTCGTACTGTGGTCAATTCTATACCAATCATTATAATGTGTCTAAGAATCGCTGTCGTATGCAAGCAAAGCTTGCTCTGTCGATAAAAACCGTTATAAGAAAATGTAACAATCAAAATGGCTGTATAGAAAACTCTATAAAGATTCTATGTTTATTCAATTTTCATCAGAATATTACATGAAATCAAAATTGAAAGGCCCAGTGGCCACCCTTAGCGATATAACGAATACTATTTTAATAATCAGTACTCTGCAGAAATTACTACCTTAAATTAAACTTTCTATACACATTTTACTTATAAACATACATAAAAATCAACTTTCATTATCTAGCAATGACCGCGAGAGCATTTACCTTAAGTACTGATCTTCGATCAGATCATACCACGAGAAGAGCTATGGCGATCAACTTCAAAGCTTCCTTGGTAAAATTACTTATTAAACAATTTATTATTTTTTATTTACATTCGTTCCACTAAGTTCTAATATTTCATATTACTTCTATTAATATTATTAGCAGCAACATAGTTGTAGTAGAAAAATAGAAATGGTGCGAAAGCGTCTCGACTACATACAAAATCCTAATAATTGCTCTATGGCTAATAAAGTCATATGTGACATTAAGAGAGGTGGTATGGGCTCAACTGTCCATCATTGGGTATTTTGCTTGATGTACGCTTACTACACGAATCGAACCATGCTGATAGATAAAAGAGTATGGGCGTATTATCGAAATGTTACTGGTGTAGATGGTGTCCAACATTTCGAAGATGTATTCCAGCCTATTTCTAAGTGTAAACTTTCCACTGAAGATGCCAAAAAGGCTATCAAATGGACGAGTCGTATTTATGACAAAGACTTAGCTAAAAATAATTCTGATAAGATTCCACAGATTATAAGATTGCAAAGAGTTGGGTTGCTATATCAAAATTTTGGTAAAGCACCTGCAATTTGCCGATATGGTATGCCGAGAAAACTATTTTACGATGTTGTTCAATATAAATGTGATCCTGTAGCTTGGTGGATAGGTGTTCTAGCCCAATACATAATACAACCTAGTAGTGACTTAAAACAATTGATAGATCAATCTCGAAAAGAATTCAAATTTCAATCACCTATTGTTGGTCTACATATTAGGCGTTCTGATAAAAAAACGGAGAACGAAATATTCGATATTGATCGATATATGATTAAAGTGAATGCATATTTTAATGGTTTATCTAAGCGCAAAATCATTATTAAAAGACGAATATTTGTAGTTACTGATGAACCATGGCTTATTGATCGATTAATTACAAAGTATCCACATTATGAATTTATTCATCCTCCGGAAAAACAATTAACAGCCGATACCAATACTACAAGATATTCTGCAATTAATTTAAGATTTTTTCTTCGCGATTTATACCTGCTAGCCGAATGTGATCATTTAGTTGTCACAATGTCATCTAACGTGGGTAGACTTGCATACGAATTACATGAAGTTATTTATAGTCAATCTCGAGGTCGACATTTTGCATCGCTTGATTCAGATTATCATGTTTTCGGATTTGCTGCTAGCGGTGAAGGTCCATGGATTATGCAAGCCAAGAAAGATTGCGCTAGCAATGGGTCTGGTACTATTGATTTACTCAAGGGAGATTTGTTAGATTCGTGTGTATCCATAAAGGAAAAGAAAAACATAGTCTATGGTTATCTTAAACGTTTAAAAAAGTTCGGACACTTCCATCAATCATGTCTTTATTACCTTGCAGATAATCAAGACTATCCAGATTATAGCAAATCAGACGGATGGTATCAGCGGCATATACCTGATATGAAAAGAATATCTACATTAGGAAATATTTGCATGAAATCGTCGATAACTGACATTGGTGTAATATAAATTTACTCTATAAAAAGTATCCCATAAGTGAGATACTACGTTGGTTAAAATGAGAATTTTTTATAGTCATTTAATAGTTACTTACTGTTCAAGGGGCCATTCCAGTTTTAAACTACATGTGTATTAATTTCTTTATTTTATAATTATAATTGACCTCATTTGAAAATGCATTAGTGCTGTATATTGTAAACCAGACTTTTTATATTTTAGGTTAGAATTTATGATAATCAGTACCATAATTTTTTGTTAAGATACTGTGAGTTTGTAATTCAAGCGATGTACTCGTATTTAGTCAATCGAATAAATATGTGCTAATTTTGATCATTAATTACAGTAGAACATAAAAGTTACTTTATAACTATGCTACTTTTTTTGACATTAGCATTGACAGTTGATGTTTTAGCGTGAAGTTGTACGATAACTGTACGATTATAGCCAACATTATAGTGCTTTACTGTCATGTTATAAATCTCCTTTCTCTGTAGATAGAAATTGTAC